AAGAGTACAACTCCACAACACTTGAAAGCTCCCATGTTCAACACCCCTACTGCAGTTCAAGCCAGACTCCTCCATAAAGATGGATGTTGCTCACGGGTAAGGGGGGTCGGTGTGTTTGCCTGGCTTTGGGACCCAAAAAGACACCACTTGGAGAGGGTTCTACTTTATGGCTACGGGAAAGGAGCTTGTGGCTAGCATCCCAAAACGAACACCCCAACAATACAGTCACCAAACCCTTCAATACAAACCCTACTGTGTGTAGTTGAGGAACCACAGGCCGGTTAGCAAGCAATGCGGCATGCATGCATGCATATATATATATATCATAACAGCAACAAGACTGTGAATACTTTTCGTCATCATAACCATGCTAATGATGATGAGAAGAGGAGGAGAAGAAACCAACAAACAAAATGCACATACAGAGTCAAGAGTAGGAGCCGGAATGACAACCCCCCTCCCTCAGAAAAAGGACGCCTGCTTGAAAGAACGCCCAAATCTAGGGTTGAAGATCGCGGGGGGGGGGGGGTGAATCGAGGGTACAGGGCAAGAGGAATTACATGGAAGGCTTGGGGATTTTACGCTGCTTAAGGTGTTGCGAGGCTGACTGCGGCATTTTTCTGAGTTCAACAGCTGGCGCTTACCAGGAGACAGGGATGCAAATTCTGGTATGTTGCTTTGGGGGTCTATAGAGCTCCTAAGATGAAAAACACACAGCACATGGTACTCCACATGGAGCTTGCAAAGTCTGCCGCAACACCCGAGGACTGGAAAACCAAGTGCAGGACTATTCCGGAGGATTCCGCGTAACTAGAGCTTAAACTACCGGATCCTCTATGATTTCAGGTTTCCTTTATCACTTGCGGATCCCTTCTACATAACTCAGAGAGCGTGTTTGATCACTACTGCTTGTTGGATCACCACGGGTTGTTGGAATCTCAGAAAGTTTCCTGAGGCGCCCACCCCGACTGATCCAGGAGGCCTCACGTGGGGTTAAGGGTGGGTTTCCTAGGATTTGGGACAAATTGGAGTGTATGGCTGTTTTGTTTGGCATGCTGCGTTTCCAATTGGGACTTGGGTCCCTCTCAACAGTTGGAACAGCGTTTTGTGGTGTGCTGCACTGCAAATATACAAGGATGACACGTGAGTTTCATGACTTATACGGACCGCAGTATGGCAGCCTGTCTCTAGGGTGTTGGATGTTTCGGGTTCAGAGACGCTTCGACTCCCGTTTAGGAGACTAGGGTGGTCTAGACTTTCCTTCGCAAGTTGTGCTTTCCAATGCACTAATGATGCACAAACGGTACCCTTATAACATCTCCGTAGTATCTTTACAGTAGCCTCACAGTGCCCTTATAGATCCTTGGATCCTTATGATACCCTTCCTGCTACTTGACAAGGACCTGCTCATCATGTGCGCTGGCCATAAACGCAACATAAGGGCCTTCATGTATTGAAATAGCTTTGGGGTAGGTGATACTAGAGTATCATATGAAAACCCTCAAAAATCATCTTAGGCTCCTATATTCCCGCTGCCAGCCTGGACCTCGACCAGTTTTTCATGGCTCAGCTGGGATTGAAACGAAACAACGGAACACCTTTCACTCGGAACCTCAAATGGACATCTTGGGTTGCGCACAAGGATCGAAGAGTTGAAGCAATCTGATAAAGTTCCTCGGTCCTAGGTCATCAGCACATAGCCATGATTGGGAAGACGAGAATCACTTGCTGGGAGTTTCGAGCCAGCGGCTGTATCACAATCAGACATACTCTGATCCCGCAAAAGGCAGCGTGGTTCGCTCAGGTATCGGCTGGGTGCACGGTGTGGGAATACTCATGTTCAGTAAGGAAGGGTAGGAAGGGTCCCTGGATAGCTCAAGGAACATTGTCCATCTTCAAAGGCGACGAATCTCTCTTCTGAGATGTAGTACTTCTTTTCACCTAGCGCAGCGTGTACCGCGGCGAGGCCAGTGCAGTAGGTTTTGCCAGGGTCCGTGTCGTGACGAGGGAGGCCTCCAGCGACAGAGAGGGTTCGACAGGATAAGGGTTCCATCGAGTTCTAGTAGTTTGTACGGGATCCTGTACACGGGCGATCATAAGGGGGTTTACAACGCCAAACCCTCAACCTCCCCCAACACACAGACTTCATCAAACCCCCCCAACCAAAAAACAAACTAAATCCTGAAACCTCTCAACCCCAAAACCCCAAAACCCCCCAACCCTGAATAGGATGTGTTGAAGCTTTTCGGGGGTAAACCCCAACAATGCCTCGGACCCCACAGTGCCCGCGCACGAGACTGACCTTGGCTCCGCACGGACTCCAAAGCTTCTGGGCTCTTTCTCAAATTGCTGCTGCTGCTGACTGTTATTGTTGGTATTTCTAGTATTATCATTGTGATTGTTGGTATTATGGCCATGTTTTCATTTTAACCCCTATTATTAGTAGTCTTATTGGACTTCTTGGTCTCGTTCTCTTTATTATCATGGTTTTATGATTGTTGACTTGTTCTCATGTTTATGCTTAGTGTAACTACTGCGACTGTGCCATTATTATTAGCAGTAGTCGTGGTCGTGTGATGCTGATCAGCCTGCGTACGATTATTATTGTTAGTATAATCATTATTACTATTACCACTATGCCTAGTATCGTCATTAATATTCTTCCTATTATTCTTATTATTGGTATTACTATGATTTTCATGATGATTAGCATTGCGATTATTATTTACAATTATTATGGCTATGATTAGTACTACTGTTACTATCACTATGATTATGGCAACGTAGTGATGATGTTGTTGTTGCTGTTGTCATACTACTCTTCTTATTTGCATGACTATTGTGGTGGTGATTATGAAAATTTTGTCATAAACAGTGTTTTCATGTTGGTTGTAATAGTGTTATTTGTCGCACTATTTTTTGTTCTGGTTACAAGTATTATATAGTAGCACTACCATTAGCAGCAGTAGTAGTAGTAGTAGTACTACTACTACTACTACTACTACTACTACTGCTGCTACTGCTACTGCTACTGCTACTACTACTACTACTTTTGCTTTGCGATTCGCCAATGCTCCGCAGCATCCTAGCGTGAGGCCCGGCGATGCATATATGCATCGGCTTCTCAGAGGAAGCGCTTAGCCCGAATAAGATCATCACCTTAGGTGATGAATGAATGAACACCGACCCGAAGGTCCAAGCATGTTCAAAACTGGAATGTTGGAATGCTGTGCCGCCCGAGCCGACAGCTCCATGTGCGACGGCTAGCCTAAGACTCTCGGTGTTGCCTGTACAGTGGTCCTGGGGCATTGGCATTGGTAGCGGAGCCGACGGACCATTAGTTTACATACACCTCTGAGAGAAAAGTTATAAGGCTCATTAACGATCGAAAAAACACCTATATCATGTACAGCATCATCTGAACGCTCCCTTCATCAAGAAACTCATGAGATCGAGTGCAGTGCCTGAAGTCAGCAGCCGAAAAAGTCACGTGTGAGATCAGCTCACTGAGTGCCAGCACCATTGGATCCAGTGGCCCATAGCCTGAGTAAGTAGATCAGGCAGTTGTAAGATTGCGATGCCCCGAATAATACGAAGCCATCCTCATCAGTCTTTTTTGCAGAAGAATCCGGTCCCCCACTCTCCTTGCTATGCTGGATTGAAACCATAATGGAATAGCAGGCGCCGCTCATCTGTTGTGAGTTGCGCCGTATGCTGTGAATGAAATGCGATAAGCACGAGTCTGTCGCCCTGCCATGGTATGGTGGCGTGCTCCGTGCATGGATGGAATCGTAATGGCGTAGTAAGGGCATGGAATCGCCCCACATGACCAGCCTGAGAAAGCGCAATGTCGCCTCGGTCATCACGAAGCCACAATTCACCACCAACCCAGGAGCTGCATGGCACAATCATGTTTTCATGTTGCTTGCAGTTCTGGTTGTCCTTGTGTGGGCTGGAAAGGACATTCATTGCCAGTGTCACTGCACTGAACTTGAAATCATTGTCCATCGCACCAATGATTCCTGCAAGCAGCGCCGTTGAGTTTGGGCTCTCCTTCAGGCTCTTGGTTAGGCCCTTCATTGGGCCTCTGGACCATGCGCCTGCATGAAATGATCTAGGCGGCGAGGACCCGAAACCTTGTACGGGTTGCTTCCATCTCGGCCCGGAACCCTCTGGCAACATGGCACTCAGCCTCTGAAGCTGGGCCCATAACACATAACCTTTCTCAAGAATCATGCGGGCGATGACTTCATGGTCAACCAGAGGGTCTGGTTCTGGGATGTGATCCAGACAAACCTTCACCAGGTACATTTGG